TAAAATCGACCATGAATTAGTAAACGATTTTGGTCTTGCACAAAATGCTGCATTGTCATGTATACATGAACCATTTTCCCATGAAAATGCCATTTCTTCATTTAATTCAATTAAAGATGGTTTAACAAATAGTACAAGATAGGACAATAAGCATAAGAAAATTATGTAGAATAAAAAATGAACTTGATATTTAACACGTGGTCGAGATAATTTATTTTTTATTGAAAAGATACATTTAAAGAAATCCTTTTGATCTTTTACTCTAGAAAAATAGAAACAAATTTATACTTTCAAAGGAAAAACAAACAAATTTTAATCTCTCATACTGAATTCCTGTTGTTGCATGGCCAAATGAAGACGCAGTACTTGCAAGCATTCGATCAAAATGTTTACCTTTTATCTAAATAATTAATTTATAATCGTAAATTTTAATAGTCAAAGAGATATGAATCACTTTATGAGTTGTATCTCCGCTCCAAATATTATCAAATACTTCTTGAGCACTTGTATGTCCAACAAAATTTTCACTATGCGATATGACTCAATAAATTCATAGGTATACAATTATTCTTATAAATAAATCAATAAAAAACATACTTGCAACTTCTAATGATGATAGTTTATTAAATTCAAAATTTTCACGGTTTAATGCTAATCTTGGTAAATTTGGATTAGATAAATAAAGGCATTGAACGAGACGCATAGCAAGTTGCTCATATTCACTAAAATTAACAAAATTTGATAAAAAAAACTTTAAGATCGACAAATTCTAGTTGTCCTCTTAATGCTAATCTTTCTAAAAAAGCAAACGCAGACAATGCAACGAACATGATTCGAGTAAAATTCATTTTGTATATATAGACATGCTCTATATGCAAGAACTTATTATAAAATCTAAACAATTTTCTATCTCATTATACCTGATTAAATTCTAAATAAAATTTATATTTTTTAAACTAAACAAAATAATTTATTTTTCTTACTCAGCATGATCTCTTAATTTTTGTACAGTTACAGTTTCTGTTGAACTTCGTTTCTCACATAAATCAGCTGTACGACGATAGACAAGTGCAGCAACTAGAGCACCACACAATCGATTCTAATATAAAATGAAATAGAAATATTCTTGTAAAGATCATGAGATAACTTGCATTGAGACGTCTCCAAAAGTGTAATGATAAATTGTAATGATCAAAAAATACTGCCCATAGAAATAATTTTACATTAATTGATTGTATTCCATCTTCTGCAGTTTCATTATTTTCATCCGCCTACAAAATAGAAATAAATAATATTCGTTTTCATATTATTAATTCAATTTACTGATCGATAAATTTCATCCAGAGTACATCCAAAATCTTGTTCAATACATTCAAGAAAAAGATTATGATTATAATTCTAAATTCAAAGAAAATAGTTTTTTAGTTTTATTTTAAAATGTATTTTCTTCTTCAAATCATTTTCGAACTTGATCTCGTATAGTTGCCATTTTAGCTAATTGTATCAAATCCTATAGATAATTTTCATTCTATTAGCTAAAAATTAAATTAAAAATAATATTTTACTACTTCAGGCATATCTTGATTTTCACGTAGCATTCGACTTGCAAATTTTGGTTGATTTAAATCAAAAGCTAATGATAAATGTAATCTTAATGATGATAAACGTTGATTTTGATTTGCTGAAAAAACTGAAAGAATCAATTGAATTAATTTAATTATTTCTATTAACCTGTTACTAATGCTTCAAGAAAATATAAAGAAAGATCATCATCTTCATCACAAACACGTTTTTTTTTACATCGAGTTACTGCCAAATAAGTTATTAATTTTATTAAATCATCAGTTAAATCATTGCCAAGTAATTGATTAACAAGTACTTTTAATTCTCGAAGAAATGTTGGTGCTAATAGACTAAAATAGATTTTCTTAATAGATATATACATATATTTTTTTTTGTTAACTTTACTTTTGTTCAGAACCTTGTGTACATGTTCCACCATCTCGAATCTTATGACAAACCCAATGATGTATAGGATTATATTTATAATAATTAAGCCTATCTAGAATATCAAGTAGTAATAGACAACTATTGAATATGAATAATCAAGTCAAAGCAATCATTTAAATAATTAATATTTAGTTTTATTCAATCGATAATAATCGATCTATAGAAACTAAGTTGTATATTAGTATCAAATTACATATCAATTTAATTTAAATTCGATTGTTAAAAAAGAAAATATTAATTAGGAGCAAGACGAACAAGTTCATCAATCATTTACTTTTCTCAGAAAAAAAACAATACAGTGAAGTTTTCGACATCTTTCATAGAGTTATTTTCAGCACCAAAGCTTTATGAAAAAAAAATTTATATATATATATATAAAGAAACAATTATTTTTCTTTTTCTATTCTTTTCTAGTATTCCCTTAAACATCACACTACGATGATGTC